GATAAGGCTAATAAGCCAGAAATACGTCTTACAATTCCCCCTATCTTTCTTGGTTATACTATTCTCCCTCGCCAGTTGTGCGGCTGCCTGCGGTTGGACCTCTGCATTCTATAGGTCGCCATAGCTTGAGCTCAGCAGAACGCTATTGCTAGTGTAATTGAAGTCAGCCAGCCGACATCGGGTTGCAAATTCGACATCGTCGAAATAATTTACACCCCTTCAGAAAATCCAGTCGAAGACAGTGATGGACCCTTTACAAGGCTTGGTCATGGCGGTGCCATCTTCTGACTCGAATAAACGCGACAAGGACCCACAAAGATCAAGGCCAGACGTTTGCAGCTTGAATAAAATGCTAAAGGAAATGTTTTAAGATCGTCTTCACGAAATTATACTTTTCCTGCTCACCATCTTAAAGCCGTTACGGGGGACTGCAGTATGCGTACAACTTTGGGCACAATCTGATGGGCAAATAGGGTTCTTAAAAAGGAAGAAAAAAAATAGTGAACATTTGCGTTCGTGAAACTACTTTGAAAGTATGTCTGTGTACTGATAAATACCATTTTCGATGGTGTCTCACTACATGACACCGATAAAGGGTTTTTATTCACTCCGTAGAGCAAACTACTCTCTTATAGTTTATACAGTGTTAGCGCCGCGGTTCCTGATCTCACTTTCTCCGATACCACTTTCAGACTATTTCCTTCCTTTACTTCTTTTGCATCGTTGAAATTTCTCATATTAATGTGCAGGAGTCTTTCGGTTGATGCCTTGACATCCTTTGCATTTGGATGACTTTTTCACCCTAAAGATTCAAATTAACCTTGCTTTTATTAGGTTTTCTGCTTCTTTTTAGATTAATAACGTGCTTTAAAACCGATTGATACCTCACCGAAACACCATTGACAATAAGTACACATATACCCCCTGCCTTTCAAGACCCGCTCCGTCCTATGGATCAATATCATGTCCTTGAATGCATCGGTGAGGGTTCCTTTGGAAGAGTCTACAAGGGTCGCAGGCGTTACACTGGCCAAGTAATTTTATACCATCGGCTACTAATTTTATAGATCGTGGCGCTTAAATTCATCCCAAAACAAGGAAAGAGTGAAAAGGCACTGCAGAACTTAAAGAAGGAGTTTGAAATCATGAAGTCCATTCACCACCCGAATATTATTTCAATGATTGATGCGTTTGAGACTCAGAAAGAAGTACGTTTAGGCTATGTTGTTATGGAGCCAACACTTTCAGGTAGTCGCTGTGACAGACTATGCCGAAGGCGATCTTTTTCAAATTATCGAAGATGATGGTCGATTACCTGAAGACGTGGTAGGCTTGTATTTTAATGTCTCATCCTCTTTCCGAAGATTCGGTCGGTTTCCGCGCAGTTAGTCTCGGCCCTCTTTTACCTTCACGCCCACCGAATTTTACATCGCGACATGAAGCCGCAGAACATTCTGCTTGGCCACGGTGGTATCGTAAAACTTTGCGACTTTGGATTTGCTAGGGCTGTTGGCAGTACCACGTTGGTGATTACTTCGATAAAGGTGTGCCTTAATCTTCAAAACGCTTAGTGTTCTAGGGTACACCCTTGTACATGTCCCCGGAGATTGTTGAGGAGCGTCCTTATGACCACACGGCTGACCTCTGGTAATTCACTCTCTTTACTCACGTTTCTGCTTTCTAGGGCATTAGGTTGTATCTTATATGAACTGTTTGCTGGAACGCCACCGTTTTACACAAACAGTATCTTCAAGCTGGTCCGCATGATAATACACGATAAGGTTAAGTGGCCTGAGGGCATGTCCGCCCATTTCAAAAGTTTTCTCACCGGCTTGTTGCAGAAAGATCCCCGCCAGAGACTGCAGTGGCCAGAACTACTTGAGCATCCGTTTGTAGCTAATTTAATCGAAGGTATGATTTCGCATCTT